AGTCCCTGCAATATTCACTACCAGGCCCTGGTAGGGAAGACAAGAAATCAGAATGACAGCCATTAAAAAAGTCAGGCAAGAGCTCAAAAGAAAAACTCTCCACTGCCAGTGAGAGTCTTGCTGGACAAACCAATGTCAGGTAAGGGAATGATAGAGAAAAGATAGGAAAAATAGATGAGGTGGTGAAGAAGAACCGTGGAAGAGGAGTTCAGCCAGAGGCCTGAGGGGGAAAATACGTGGATGAAAAATGTGCAAAAACAGAGAGAGACAAGCAGACCCACAATTCTCGAGGGTGGGTGTGGGTGTCTGCGTTGTAAGGAGTGGAAAGGCATTAAGGCTGAGAGCAGAGCAAGGGAGGGAGGGAGCGAGGGAGAGGTCAGATAAATGTCTATAAAATAACACCCATCACCACTGATAACAAGTATAAAAGAATCTTTTTTTCTTCTTGAGAAAGACAAAGGGAATTTTAAGTAGGATTAAGTAGTAGTAGCTTTCAGAACTCAGCAGCTCTCAGAAGCAATAATAACTACATAAATAGCTAAGTAGATGGTAGGAATTACTTCACTTTGGAATTGGGCCAGCATATCAAAGTTAACAGTAATATCACATCTTTTTGAAAGCTTTCCTGAGATTCTAGGGGAAAAAATCATCTCAGAAAACTGTACCGAGTTAATTTTAGGAAGAGAATGCTCCTCACTGCTTGAAGACATTCTATCTCCTGAAAATTGATAAGACAGAAGCCCTACCCTGCTGGGAAGCACTCTCTTATCCATGTAAATACATCGCCAGTATCGCCCCCAACAGAAGCAAATAATTACATTCACAGATTACCATCGCCTAATGTAAAATTTTACTTAAAACATAACCCACAAATGACGTTTTAAATGCAACAAAAAGGACCTTGTAGATACCCCACTTTCACAGAGTCCCCCAACTTTTTGACTCAGTGTAGTTAGTTAAAATGTGAACCTTGTAAGGCCAAATTTTGAAACATCGCATCTGCATACATTCACTTACGAATTAGATGAAATTGGACAAATTGGAAATATAAATAATTTTCACACCCTGGACACCTCTACTTGTGAATATCCTGTGGATTTTTCCTCTTAAGTACATTTCACCACTAATGTGCTAGATCATCTGTTTTCCTCCCGGAAACCAGAGATGAAAACTGAGTGTTGATGGTAGTTTGAGGCACAAATATCTTCTCTCACCATCTAGAAACATTCATGTGTTACTGTTTTTAAAAAAATTAAGTTACAACATTGCATTATTTATTTTCTACCCAGAGACAAGTTATTTCAGTGTCACCCACAATGGAATTTGCATGAAAATCTGTTTACTGACCCTGTTCCCTAAGGATGCTCTTGCCCTAGCACTTGGAGTAAACACCATTTTCACTGCACTAGAAATAGTTCTAATTAGACAGATATTGTTACAATTTTAGCAACACCCAAATAAATCAAGGGAATCTGAAGCAGACAAGTCATCAAGTCTGGATTCTACCACAACTCAGTTGGGTATTTATGCATGAAATAAGTATCCAGTACACACCATCTACAGACGCTAAAAGGACATCTACATACATCAAGTTTTTTGGAAAATATGAGTTTAGAGAAACTGGTTATTCTGAAAACAGTCTGTTAAAAAGTTATGGGGGCCGGCCCAGTGGCATAGTGGTTAAGTTCGTATGTTCCACTTCGGTGGCTCGGGGTTTGCAGGTTCGGATCCCAGGCACAGACCTACGCACATTTATCAAGCCATGATGTGGCAGATGTCCCACATATAATGTAGAGGAAGATGGGCACGGATGTTAGCCCAGGGCCAATCTTCCTCAGCAAAAAAAAAAAAAAAAAAAAAAAAGAAAAAAAAACCTCATATGTTATGTGATTAGTTAATAACTAATTTCCTACCAATTTTATTACATATATTAAAAAGAACTGAGTTCATCTCTTTCATTAATTGGTACATTTTCATTAATATGGTCTAAACAACAGTAGGATATCAATGTGTAGATGATCAAACAATAACATTAAGAATTCAGAATTAAGCACAGTGTAAAACATATCTGAATGAAAAACACAGAAGGTACTTCTGTGTAAACTCTCCTTTCAAACCCTTCTATAAACTGGCCCCTCTTTACTGCCCATTATTCCTGAAATGCTCCCTCCTCTCCAAGAAGCTGGGCCTCTCCACTATTCTTCACACATTCCCATGCCACATCCTACTCGATGCCTTTGCCCTGCTGACCCACCTTTTCCCTCATCTCGGATGTTCTTTCTCAAATCTTTCTTGTTATCAAACACTCACCTTCTCCATGAAAGCTTGAACTTTACAACTTGAACTTATAGTCATACACATTCTGAATTTCCTTACTATCTACGTCCAAATTTAGCATTTAATTATGGGATTGTTTCCCTCTGCTTAGGTATGTGTTTGTTCCCAACTAAGTCACATTATTTAAAGGTAACATCTCTCTCTTAATGCCTCTCCCTAAAGTTTTTGTCAAGATCCTACTCCACATTTCTCTAGTTATTCCTTCTGAATAACTAGATAAACTATGTTTATCGGAAAACATGCTTAAATGTGCCCTATCCTAAAGAAAATTTCTGCAACCTTGTTTCTTTCTCAAGTTCTCCTACCAGATCTACTTTCTTTCTCTACCAACCTTCTTGAAAAAGCACTCTTTCCTCTACTTCCATTATTCCAGGTCTGGCTCAACCCCTCACAATGTGAGTCTCTATCACACTTCCGCTCCCTCAGCGACACCTCTCTGCAGCACTGAAGCTGCGTGCACCTCATCTTCTCTCCTGGAGACTGAGAGGACATTGACTCCCCGTTCACCTCCTTCCCCAAACCCACTACACTCAGTTTCCTTTCCCGGCAACTCCTCTAGAGTCTTCAGCTGTCATCCTTCATCTCTGCTCAATCTTATATGGCAATTGTATCTCTGCACTTGTCTTTAATTTCCAGGTCTCCATCTGCCACTCCCTAATCTGTATTTTCAGTGTTGAACTCCCTGCCGGGTCCCAGACTTTATGCTGTCACCTGGGCAGTTGCATGGGGCTATCTCAGAATCAAATTCAAATTAGTCCCTGCAAATCTACCATTCATTCCATTTTCTCTGTTACCTAATTACAAACCATTTTCATAGACCTGGCTGGTAGAGATTTAACATTCAGAACCTCTATCACTTATCACCACCTCCAGCGTTAATCACTCACCATGTGCTGTAAATATCACCCACTAGGACTCCTGTCCTCTCTGTTCTGCCCCTACCTTGCACCTCCTTGTTTAGGCTGTGATTGCCCATTGCCAGGGCTACTGGATGGGCCCTGACTGACCTTTCTCCTTTCTCTCCCTGATTTCCAATCCTCCTTACACTTCTGTCAGAGGAATCTTCTTGACCTGGATGAAAAGCCTCAGGTAATTCTACCCTACAGGTAGGATAAATCCCAAACTCCTCAATTCTGGAACTTCCAGAAAGAACTTCAAGACCTTCCACAACCGCCCCAGACCATCTCTTTAGCCTCATCCACCATCACTCTCCCTCTCACTCACTATCCTCATTCTCATTCACTCCAGCCTCCTTGAATGTTTTTTTTTTTTTTTTTTTTTGCTGTACCTTAGACAAAAGAGGCTTACCCTAATTCCTGGAATGGGCTGCCATCATATCTTCACATGGCTGACAACTTCTTGCCATTTGGGTCTTATCTCAAACGTCACCTCCTTGGTGAAGAATCCTCTGCACAATCTAATTGCCGCTCTCCCTGCCAATACCACCTGGTCACCCTTTCACGTTTACTCGGTTGTGTTTCCCATAAGTATATCTCAGCATCTGGAAGTCTCTGTTCATTAATATGTTTACTTATTTAGTGTCTGTCTCCTCACACTCGAATGTAAGCCCCATGATCACAGATCTTGTCTCTCTTCACTCATCCCAGCTCCTGGAACAGTGCCTGGCACACAGGAAGACTGAAGTTCGATCCTTCCACAGCTGGCACCTATTTTCACATCCCCATCCTTGCCTTGTTTACATATCTGCTCCAACATTTATCATATTACAACTTTTATTTGAACATCTATTTCCAAAGGAAGTCAGTAGAGGGAAATGAGGACATCAGACTATGGGGGTGAGGGAGGGGAGTGAATGATTGTAAAATGCTCATTCAAGTTTTATAGTATTCCATGTAGAAGATTTATGCATCTTAAAGTTATCCCTAAGTTTTACGTTTTTTGATTATGTTATAAACAGTATTCTTTAAATTTCATTTTCCATGTTTTAGTTTATAATATATATATTATATATAATACATATATATTAAAAAAGGGATTAAAAATGAATGTTTATAATGACCTTGTTAAAGGTTACTAAATTTACTACTTAGTTTTAAGTAATTTTTAAATTCTATTAGTGTTTCTGTGTACACAATCATGTTATCTGCAAATGAAAAAGTTTCATTCTTACATTCAAAAAATGCACATTTATTATCACTATTATTTTTAAGTGCAAAATATAGAAAGTAAAGCATCAAATAATCATAGAGCTAGAGCTACACAGGATGTGGGGACAATAGTATTATAGGGGTCATGGATTGAAATAGTTAAAACAACACTGTTGTAAGACAATTTATTACGATCCATCATCCTCGCTACATTTTGAGTTTCTGGAGAGCAATATCATGTCTTGCTTATATCCCATCAAACCTAATAAAGCGCTTTGCCCAAAGTAGAAACTCAGTAAATATTTTTAAAATAGAATTGAAATACCCTAGAGGGGGGCACATGGCACATGTTCAATAAATATTGGTTGGTTGACTGTAAGAACTGCTGAGTACGCCTATGTTTGCTGAACGATCAGTGTACGCTCAGCCCTGCCGAGAAACAGTAACAAGAGACAGAAGGAAATAGAAGATACCCTTATCATTATCCACATAGAAAAACTTCATTTATCAGGTAATAGTAAAACAAATACACCAAGAAAACATTAAAGTGGCTACCTGTGCATTTCTTTATATGACTGTTCCTTTTTCCATGTGATCCTAACTTGCATCCAAAATTCTCCTCCCAAAATTCTGCGAACCACACATTTCTTCGATTATTAGCAAGAGTTCGGCTTCTAAAGTATCGATCAAACCCTATTTTAGAGAAGAAAGGTATGATTTCAATATTCATACAAAATCAAAACCAAATACTGTCAGAGCTTTTGAATGGATATTATGCTATGCTGTGATCATTGCATGAAAAAAAACCAAAACATATTAACAAATGGAGGAGAGCCAGTAGCCCAGAAATAAGGCTTCCCTTATGGCAAAAGCTAAGGGGAATCAGTGGACAATATCTCCACCCCCACCATTCACCATTCAGTCAGCCAGCTCTGGGGATGAGCATAACTGGAAAGCCTATTGTTGGTATCATCCTCACAACCTCTCCTTCTCATCTACATCTCCCAGCGGCAGTGACCAGTGATCTCATGCTGAATATTCAGAACCAACTCAGACTCTTCTCATTCTTCTCTCTTTTTCCTAGCAGGGGTCAATGTTCCAGGTTTCTATGCTTCTACCTGCCTCAAAATTTATCTGTCCTGTATGTTCCATTTTCAGCTAATTCAATCAACTAATCAGTACTAATGCAACCTTATGGAGTCATGGGTAATGGGCTAAAGTGTCAGCCTGCTAGGTAACCATCTCATTGAAGGGAGACCACCTGGAAATAATGCCTTACTCCAAAGGATAATGGGAGAGGTAGGAATTTCAGTCACTGTCAAGACCATTGGAAAAGATATTTGGGAGACAGACTGCCTTTCAGGGATGTTCCACATCTTTGCTGTTGTGTTTATTCATCCACAGGGTCAGCCCAGCATCGTGTCTTCATTTTCTATAAAGCAAACACTCTCCTTCCAACAATGCTATAATCATCATATATGCCCATGAAAATATGCTAACTTAGAAGGCAACATCACGGAAATATCTAGGGCCAACTATAATTCCCTTTCTTAAAAAAAAAAATCTAATGGATATTCTTTCTTAATAAAAAAAATATATGCTGGATTAAATAGTTGCTGTTTTGGCATTTCTGCCATCAGAACTAAGAATTCTATCCAGAATCAACAATAATAGGTGCATTTCATCATATGCTGATACTCTGGTTTTGCCTTTGAGTTTTGATTCAACTGGAATGAAACAAATTGTCTATGATGCATCCTTACCATCAATTGATGCTCTTTTGGGCAAAATTGTCACAGCCCCTTCTGCAATCTCCTCCTGCTGATAAACGGGTGCTATTTTGGATCCCCAACTATCTGAGCCAATCCAGAGAAAATGCCCACTTTGGTTTAATTTTTTCGCTGCTTCCAATATCCTCCTATAGCAATAAAAAGAAATAAAACATACCACATTTATCAAGAAACACTACACTTATGAACGTAACAAGACTGGTTTAGTAGGTCACTGTTAAGCAATTAGTCAATCATTTTAATCGCCTTAGTCTTATCATCTCCTAAGGAAATATATTGGAGACTTTAACTCCAGCACTTGTTAATTAGCCTCATCCTTAACCTCATTCACATCATTCTATCATCCCTATTTGTCTCAATTCTTTCATTCCCTCGGTTTTCCTCTATAGGCATTTCAGACTGAGAAACTAGAAGGCTGTTATGTCTCCATGCAGCAGAAGGTAGTCTGTAATTGCATGAGAATGTTGCAATTCCTGTGAAATCTCACAAGATTTTACATTGAACGTGGAATATGTTAGAAAAAGGATGTGGGCTGCAAATCTGATCCTATATAAGGAAGAAAAGTAATCAGCACCTGATATCATCTTCATTGGCAAACATAATCACTGCCCGAGCATTAGGTGTTTCCAGCAGGCGTTTGATGATCTTTTCAAATTCTCCAGGTCTTGGTTCACGTGGGATTTTCTGTGACTGAGCAATGCAAACACCACCTATTAAAAAAAAAAAAAAAGAGAGAGAGAGTGATTCAGAAAGGGCATTTATTTAATTAACCAACTTAATGAGGTTAGCTACTTTATAAAAACACATGATTCAGTACAGGATATTGTTTCTCAAAACATCTGGCATTCTCACCTATTAAAGCAATCGTGTTTATTTGCATTATAATATATGTATCAAATAAATTATATCAATTACTTAATCATACATCAGGGTTGGGTTTTTTGCCCCAGGTTTAAACATTATTTTTGTGGACGTCTGTAAGAAAACCAAAGTGTACAAAATGTGTGGCGAGAGTCAAGGTGTGGAATAAAGGGCTGTTTTGATTCATTTAACATAAGTTGAAGGACAAATGCCTGGATTTAAAAAATGATGAGTATGTCATGTAGGTGAGACCACCTATTAAGTAGGAAGGTCCTTTAGCTACTTTTATTAGCAGACCTCCTTTAAAGTTAATTTCATTTTATAGCTCATAGTATTGCAGCAAGATTATTATGCATCAGCACAATATGTTATGAGACAAGTGGTCTTCAAGACTATATGAGACACAGGTAAGTCCCAAAGATGCAACTTTGAGTTGACATATGTCTCCACCATGAAAATCAAAATGGCAGAAATCCCATCCCACTGTCACAGCAAAAAAGAAAGAACTCGTCTTTTTGCTTCTCCTTCTAAGGCAATGCAAGATCAAAGAGAAAAGTTGATAAAAGATCTCTGCCACTGGGCTGGGATAGGAGGAGAAGAAAGAGGTTTCCTCAGCTGCAGTGGAGCAGAGAGACAACATATTCTAATACTAGAAGAAAAAGCAATACTAGCAATATGTTTCAGTTGTATTATGGTTTAAATAGGCTTTTTTGAGTCAGTTGAGAATTAAATCACCATTTATAGCATTGCTTCAATAGACAAAGGCATATTTACTTCTAAACAATTGGCAATGCATTCAGTCACCCAAATGTTTCTGGGTGCCATTATGTGCTATGCATTGGGCTGGACACTGGGAATGGACAATCTAACCCAGAAGTTACCATCTAGTCTGGGAGATAGGCATTCCAATAAATTATCATGGAATATGTACTAAACTTTAGAATTAAGAGGGTATGCCATGTAATGGGAGCACAGAGGAAGGAGTAGCTAAAGTGATTGACAGAGATAAATTTTAAAGGGTAAATATACATCCATATAGGGACAAAAGTGGGACATTTCTGATACAGGCCAAGGTATGAAAGAACTTTTTTTTTTTTTAATTATTTTTTAATTATTTTTTTTTAATTTTATTTATTTATTTTTTCCCCCAAAGCCCCAGTAGATAGTTGTATGTCATAGCTGCACGTCCTTCTAGTTGCTGTATGTGGGACTCGGCCTCAGCATGGCCGGAGAAGCAGTGCGTCGGTGCGCGCCCAGGATCTGAACCCAGGCCGCCAGCAGCGGAGCGCGCTCACTTAACCGCTAAGCCATGGGGCCGGCCCTGAAAGAACATTTCTTGATCATGGCCTATGGCAAAGACAAACTGGGGCTGAGGTTAGAAAGAATGGCCAGGTCCAGGTTGAGAATAACTTTGTTAGACATGCCAAATAATTTGGACTTGATCTTGAAAACAATGGGAACCCACTGAAAGTTGATAAGCAGGAGAATTACATGATGAGCTTTATGCTTTAGGAAGAAACCTCAAGTAGCCAAACAAAGAAGAAACATCTGGTAGCCAAGACAATGGGTTTCCAGTGTGTTGTAAGCAGACTTAATATGTGTGGGAATAATGTATGGTTAACAAGTGCTAGATAGAGTATTGAAGGCTTAGTTTTCTTTTAAGTTAGAGTACTCTTAAACGTATCCCTGCAATAGCAACACTGTTACTAACCTTACCATATGCTCTTTAGGAGTGGGAATTGCCCATAACCCACAGCCTGAGCCTGTAGTTGGCTGGCCTACTGATGTGCCATTAATAGTTGGGCTGATTGATTCATTCCTTCAGTACACACACATTGAGTGTCCACTATCTGCCAGATTCTGTGCGGGGGCTGTGAATGCAATGGTGAATAAAATAGACATGGTCTCTGCCTTCACAGAGTTTAGAAATGTTGTAGACAAAACAGGCTTATGCAAAACAAAATGAAACAAAAAATAAGTATGTAATTACAAATTATGGCAAGTCCTACAAGGAAGAACAAGGGCATTTAATTTAGACTGAGGAGTGTCCAGGAATAACCTCCCTAAAATGGCGTCACTTAGTTGAGGTCAGAAAGAAGAAGAAAGGGACACAACAGTATGAGAAAAGGTGGGAAAGAGCCAGTGGAGTTAATGAATGAGGGAGAGAGAAGTATGGACAAAGATGAGAAACAGACAGACGCCAATTCATGCATGACTGTGCAGGGCCTGTGGAAGATTATGAATAATTAAAGTGCTTAACTTCCTAACTAAATGTTTCCCTTTCTCCAACCTTTTGGTAGCCCATAGGAATATGTCTCATCTATGAACATTGCATTCCACGGAAGAAAAATGGATGAGGATCACTGAGGTAGAAGGCAACATGGGGTGGAAAGAACAGGAGGCAATGAGCCCAGTTAGGTGGTTATTGGGACAGGCAATGGGAAATGACGAGTAAGACAATGCTACTGGTGCTGGAGAGGAGCAGATGGAGCTGTTAGAATCACTGGGACTTTGTACTATTTTTTCCCAGCTTGATTGATGTATGATTGGCAAATAAAAATTGTATATATTTAGGTTGTACTAACTTGATCTAAGTAGTGAGGTAGTGCGAAACCACTAAGCCAGACTCTAAGGTTTTGACCTTAGTGGCCAGTTTATGTGATGCCACCATATAACAAGTAGGAACTACAGGAGAGTAAGCAGGTATGTAGGGGAGAAAAGAATGGTTTTGATTCAGGACAGATTGTCTTTGAAGTATCCAGGGAACACCAAACTGGAAAAGTGGGTCTGGAGAGAAGGAGAGAGAAGAAAAATGTAATTAGTTTTGTCAGGTGCCAATACAGTAGGTAGTTGAAGTGTTGGGAGTGAAGCAATCACTCAGAGGGAATATTTAAATCAACAATAGGACAAGGCAAATGATGGAGCTCTGAAAAACCACTAGCTTTGTAGAGGGGGCTAGTGAATGAGACTATAAGGGAACAATCACACATTCTGAGGAGAAAACTTTTGGGATAAAGTCTAGAGGTAAGTTGAAGACTATGCATAATGTCTTTAAAAGTCAAATAAACGAAAAACTGTGAGTGGAAGCATTAGGTAACTGTAGAAATGTCAGAGCAAAACTGTAACCCTCTCTAGGGAACAATAGCTGTTTCAAAATATGACTGCCCTTTTAATTAAATTGCTGTGATTACCTAAGCATCCCATTAAAGTCATGCCGTATTCTAAGCATCATTCTGAGATTACTACTGACTCCATAGCCAGAAGAAATGGAGGCCAGAAAAATTTTATGACCATTTCAGATGAGGCAAATAGGCAATCTAGATATATCATATAGTTTGAATTCATTGATGTATTCATTCCCTAAGGATCTATTGAATATTTTGTTTGTAAAAAGCTGTTAGGTTGGACTTTTACATAACCTAAATCTATTTCCTATTTTTTTATTCCTCTACCTCATCTTATATTTGTCAGCCTGACCAATTTGTATTTTCCTGGAAAGAGGGACTGCACGATTAATTTATTTCAGCTGAACAAATACTTATAGAGAACCTGCTCCACATGGCATGTTTCTGTTTGATGCCTTATGGATATTTTATTAATTCATGGACTGCATTACTTCTCAAATGATGGGAGTTAGAAGATTGTGATTCTTTTCTTAGCCCTGAAACTCGTTCACACTTTGTATCTTCACACCAGTCAATAAGTCAGACAGTTAATCCATTCATAAGCACTCAAGGTCTACTATGTTTCAGGAGCTACAGACATTCAAAGATTGCCTATTTCCAGCAGCCTTCTAATATAATTGAATGACAAGATGCACACATAAGAAAAGCCAGATAAGGATGGAAAATTATCTAACGTTGAAAGATGACAGCATAAGATATATCAAAATGCAGTAATAAATGACATCATCCCCCCAAACAGTCCTATGACTTCATAAGAAGAAAAAGTCATTATATACTCTTAGAGTTTTGTTAAAATACCAGTGAAATTTAGTCAAACATTCAGGCTTAATCAAAGTTATATTTTCCTACAATACTCATTATCTATTGTTTTAATTTTTAAAGAGACTCTCTGACTTGATTTAGACCCCTAGGGTGAGTAGGAGGAAGAGGAGTTGCCCTCCATCAAAGAATATGTCTATTCATCCATTTTTCCATATCTCACTCTGAAAGTGTACTGGTGGTGTACAATTCAAGGGACACGAACTTTCCTACTCCGCAGGTGTGCCCAGTTCTCCAAGAAATAATTTTTAAAGCTTAGCACTTAGGAAAAGAATGTTGTTAGGCTGGGATTTATAATTGGCTGCTTTCTAGAATTTCCTGTCTGATTTTTTTGCCTGTGTAAACTTTTTTTGATTATTTAATAATAATTAAAAGATCATTTGTTGAACTGAACACTTTAAGTACACTCTACAACACAAACAATTGCTCCTTGCCAGTCTCATTCACTCTATGGTACCTCGCTAGTCCTAATGGCAGTACTCTAGGGTTGGTATTATCACCATATTTCTGATGCGGAAACTGAGAAACAGGGGTATCAATAGCTAGCAAGAGGCTGGAACCCAGGTTCAAAGCTAAATCCATCTGACTCCAAGTCTAGACATTGCCCATCATACTGCCCATCCATAAGTGACTATACCCTGTTGCTTAATGGTTTAGTGCATACAAATGATTGATGAATAGGATAAAGCAAATTTAAAGACTCATTTAAAAAACCCAGCAGGTTGTCCCTTATAAATCTAATGGATAGCTACACAAGTACCATACTTCTATTGACTATTAAGAAATTAAGATACTTAGAACTCATGCAGATTGTAGAACTGACTTAAACTTCTTCAGTATACAAC